CTTCACTAACGTCTCTTTCATTCATCAATTTCATTGATACTTCGTATCATCACTCTCGTTGCTAACGTAGGTCACTCTTCGATGGCCTAACAATTCCGACTTCGTTTTGTGACGTGACCAGTTCCATTCCATGAGGTGAACATACGTAAAGTATACTCGTGAATTCGGCAGCGAGTAGAAGTTCTACATTTACGTGGAAACCTGCGTGCCAATAATTCTAGAAAGTCGAATCACTGCTTCTGGCGCGGTTGATGGTTAACATAGCGAATTCCGTCACTCTGCGCGCATAAGTAGCAATAAATAGAAGTTGAACGCGGGTCGCATCCCAAAATTTCCAGGACAAACGCCTTAAAACTCTGGGTGAGTGATCTTGCGTGCAGGCAATGCCGCGGCTGTATCGGTTTCACTCAATCGACACCATGCAGCCTTCTCTGGACTTGTTTGAGGTTCGAGTCGCTATATACCCCTTGACGTACTCAACCGCGCATTCAAATTTTGTCGGTGTGTGGTGCCCTCGCACTGATGACCATCACTAACTCGCATAGCCGTACTAGATACCATGAAGCCTATTCAGTTTGCCATCCTTGCCATTCTCGCCGCTGTCACTGGGGTGAAGGCTTCTACCAATGGCACCGTTGAAACCTGTGTAACGATATGCTATGGTGGGAAACCCAGCGAGTGCGAGGATCCCGTTGAATCTAGCTCAGGCTGCTGGACCTGCTGTTACGAACCTTCTGAACCCTAGCCATCGATTTTGTACAGATAATGTATTGCGTCTAGTCACCTATAGTTCTGAAGAACGACAATTTCAGATGACTCTAGTCTGACGATCGGAAAATCTCCATATGATGCCATCTGCATATGACGTAACGTAGTCATCCAGATACTGCAAGCCATCGGTAGTCAACTTTGCTTGAAAACATAGGCCAGTCTCTATCTTTTGTGCACTTGGTTGTTAATTGTAGCGGTGTCAAGTCACCAATCCCTGACGGACTGTAGTCAACAATGGCAGACTGTCCAGACAAGTGACATATATTCACAGTTTGATTATCTTCAACCCTCCGATTCCAAATGAAAAGGAGTGGGGTAGTATGTGCCTGGAATGAGATCAGGATTGTTGTATTCATTGACTGGATGAAGTCCTCGATGTTGGACCACAAAATTAGTGGCACTCTCCAAAAGGGGTTTTTGAGAGCAGCAGTTATATATGAGTGTTCATCTAATGTTGTTGCTCTGGATTGGAGACACCTACCTTCAAAGCAAATATTGTTACAACAGACCTGTCATCGTTCTGTCCACTAAAAGCTCTGCAAGATGCTCTTGAAGTACAGTTGATTTTTCATCAAACACGCTTTTGACATCAAACTCATGATTCCTGAGTATGCGCTTGGATCAGCCAGGCATCACAATGCTGGAACTTGGCAGGATAACTTAAGCTCAACATTCCAAGTTGTTTGAGTTGTTCGATGTGCATGTTAAATACAATCAATGGTGATATTTTGACCACATGAGGAGTACCCAAATGTATCCTTATGCACAGGACCAACTGATTAGGCTTGGATTTTCCAGGGCCAACAAACACAACATAATGCTGAAGCCCATTGATATTGGTGGGAGTTCAAGGCAACACAGACTGCAGCACTTGTAAAGTGACTTTAAAGAGAGAACAGACTCAGGATTCAAATTAAATTGACCTATGATTCGATTCAATTGCGCCAGCCCCCTACAGTCCAAAGATGATCTAACTTAGTTGTTTCTGGTCTTGTCAAATTGAAGCAGAAGCACTGCTTCAGGCTGTGGTTGGATGACGTGGAGAATTTCGTAAGTTCCATCATTCAGCGCTAACAGTGAGCGATATAAATTCCCTGCCATCAAGTCTTAAAATTCTCAAGACTCTGGTGAAACACTTTGTTGGCAGGAAGTGGCACCCATAGGTAACGTCATGTCCATTTCACCCAATGGCATATAGCTCCTCTTGGACCTGCCATAGCCTCCCTGTGTACAATTGCCAATTTCACTGCATCCCCAAGGAGTGCATGAAAGTCAATGGGTCAAATCCCTCATACCCATCTTCTGCAGGAATGCCTTTGATGTCTGTTAGGAGGTCCTTCTCTGACAGGATTCATTTGTCAAGATACAACTATTGATGTCACTCTCATATGTACTCTTCCTTTCCTTTTACATATGCAATCACTCTTCACTACATGCCTGATACACGTTCCCCTTTGATTCTCTGTCTCAATCATGGTATTAAAGACCTCTCCTCATCGAATATAGTTCTCTAGTTGTTTCACTGAATCTAAAGCCTTCATTCTTGTTCATCGTTCCTAGTCCAAGCCTCTCAGATTCTCAATACCATTGGCACCTTCACATTCCTCCTTGCTGCTGCATCTTCTGTTGTTCACCTGAAAAGATCAAGAACAAAATCTATATCCATTGATGCCAGATCAGAGTTTTACTGCATCACAACTGAGTTCGCAATGTTGAGCTTGAAGCGCTGCAAACCATCAAACACTGCCAAGGGACCAGATACAAAAAAAGAATAAATATAGAACTAACCCCATGATCTTCTTTTCTGGCATCCCCTTCATGAACATTTGAACAATAAGCCAGGCACAAAGAAGTAAAAAAGACTCCAAAGCTCCACATGATATTCTGGATTGGAGTGCTTGAATGGGATGATGCTGTGCATGTATAGCCTTGCAGTTGTGAGTTTTGTCTTCACATTCATGATCACATGTCCTTCGTGATGCAGTATAGCCAGCTGTAATTTTCTAGGCTCATAGTATCGTTCTGTGCAACTTCATATGAGGTGATGGAAGGAGCCCTGCACACTCCTTGGAATTGCTGGTGTAGAGAATGGGTTGCAACTTCTCAAGAGTATTTTAGAATCTTGCAGTACTGGTGACCAGTAAGATTAGAGAGGCAAATGATGAGTGATAAAGATGAACAGCAGACAGGCGATCCGATGGTAGTGAAACAGCATGCAGCCGCCTGCCAAATAATGGCATATTGGCTACAGCAGGTGATATCTCGCAAACTTGGGCCAAAGATCAAGGTGATATGACAACTTGAGGAACTGACCAAGACGCTTGCATATGGTTTGTCGATGAGATACTTTGTGTGGTAACACTGAGCAGAGTCAGGAAATTGGAAGGCCGAAAAATATCACCCTGTTGCACATGCACCCGGTTACAGGTAATCTACCCCCTTGTTTCCTTATCTCTTTGTTTACGTCATACGCGCCATCAATAGACGGGTTCTTTCCATTCTGATTACTCACAATCGTTGCTGTCGCTGATGACATCTACTCTGCTTTGATGATGTGTACATACCTGCCTAAGTAGCTAGACCAATAAGCTCAGTCTTGTACAGGGTTTCCCTTGAACTAACTTGGACCTCCAATCTAAGTCACTGATAACCGATATTCTAGTGAGACCTCTCTCGACTAGTCTTAGAACCTTACATTGAAGGCTGACCACACGACGTACTCTTATCAGTATCTGCATTGTGCCATCCTAGTCGCAACACCAGTGGGCCTCCTGCCATGGAAATCCATATCTTCAGGATCACCAGCTGAAGGAGCCGGAATTATTAAGAACCATGCTCAAAGGAGAGAGACTGACTCAGAGGGGCTTGGCCTCAGCTCATATGCTGTGCCCCTTACCTGAGTATGTGCCCTTCATTTCAGAGGAAGTCTGATGATGGTCCAATGAAGTCCAATGTAGAAGCAAACAGAGGTAGACTACCCTTAGGTAGAGTCGGAGAGACAGGAAGTGGACCAAAGTCCAGAGAGAGGGTAGGTGCTGGAAAGGCAAGACTCCAGTCTAGGGAAGCAATCCCTAGACTTGGGACAGAGACATAGGGGACAAATCCGAAGGTCCGGAATTCTGGCCTAGGGAATCCATCCCTAGGCCTTATGGAAAAGGGCAAGACTCAGACGGACTGAAGTCTGGAAGAAGATTGGGCAAGTCTAAGGTGATATTCAGACTGAGGACTCTACTGTAGTTGTACAGGGGTTATATACTAGAGGCTATCTGAGAGGATCAGTAAGCAAAGGAGTAAGGCTATGTATGAGCATGCGGAAACACATTGGTAAGTAAGACGGAACATAAGTAAATGAACTCGGAGATGAAGACTCGTACAAGGATCAATCAGCAAGATGAAAAGAGAGATAACCGAGAACCGGAAAGGCAGAGATGCCTAAATGGGGATAGGCGCAGGATCTTGGATAGAGGGTGGGAATAGGTCCGGAGATAGTAACAGTTAATATCTGGAGGTCCGGAAATCTGGGGATCAGGGTGGAAACAGGACTGAGATATGTGAGGTGGTGGATGTAGTCCAGAATCCAAGAGGAGGTAAAGTCCAGATGTCTTGCTGGATGGAATGTGTGTAGGGTGGACAGGATAGGGGATCCAGGAATGAGTCAGATATGGGGTCTGGAAATAGGTCTGGAAAGTGTGGGAATATGATGGGATCTATGTCTGGCATATGGGATATGACAGGAATCCAAAGTGGGTGCCAAGCAAAACAAGTGTGAGACATGACATTAAGAATTAACCATTTGCCTCCATTTGCCCTCTCATCTTTGAGAGCCTGTGTATTGTGAGCAACCATTCAAAGCACAGGATTGCTGGTCCACTGTGAGAGCTGGCTGACAAGGATTGGGTACATAGCTCAGATTGATGCTACACATCCCTGACACCCACTTTAGTGGGGAGAGGGTTCTGTAGACTTTAATTAATTCCCTTAATGGGTCCCAGGTGCCGCCTCCAACACTATTGGTTTGAATTACTGAGTGACCATCATATTTTCCTTGGCTCATTGATGCTCAATTGCAGGAATGCATATTCATTTTAGTTTGACATAAATGTGCTTGCAATATCTGGGTGTACCTGCAATAGCTGTGTCATACTGAATACATGTAAATCTTCCCATTGCCAGCCAGCCGAGAACCACAGGTAACTAGATGTGATACATCATCTGTACAAAATAGATGGCTAAGCCTCAGTGCAGCAGGTCCAGCAGTCACCAAGTTTGACTGCATACCACCCTTCTGTGCACTCAGGTTCCTTGGAAAAACATGGCAATATACAGATTCCAGTGTTGCTATCAGTAGCAGCTGCCTTCACCCCAGTAACAGCAGCAAGGACGGCAAGGACGGCAAACTGAATAAGTTTCATTGTATCTAGTATGCGAGTTTATTTAGTGATGGTCATCAGTGCGAGGACACCACACACCAACAAAAGTTTGGAAGTGCGGTTGAGTATGCAAAGGCACTATAGCAGCTTGAAGTCTAGGAAAAGCTGCATGACATCGATTGAGTGAAACATATCCAGTCTATGCAAGGCCACTCACCTAAAGTTTCAAGGTGTTTGTCCTGAAGATTTTGGGATACAACCATGTTCAATTTATATTTCTTGCTGTTAGTGCAGAATGGTTTCTGGTACCCTGTTATCAGTTGGATTTTACTCAGCTCCTTCAAACATCTTCTAACCCCACGGTATTCACAATTCAAACACCCCAGACCCTATTCATGTGTTTGCTTCAGTTTAATGTTCATGCATAGTATGCCACAATAGGCAGCTTTGATATGTGGAGCACCAGGTTGTGCTCCAGGAGGAATGTGTTGGATCTGAGATGGTGTGATTGAAAGTGATAGAAAGATACATGAAAATACATGGGTATGAGACACAGGTATGTGTACATGAAGCTCATGCCTTCAAATGATGGGTTATGCATGCTAGAAAGAGCCATACATATGGATTCTGCAGATGCAGAAGTTGCACCCCATTCAGCATCAATTTCATCATTAACTGAATGGACCATTGAGCCACTGGCATCACATGAGACATGATGACAAATATGAAATTTATCTGGGGTGCCGTCTAAGCCCTATTTAACCATGACTTGCAAAGGAGACTGAATTTTGCAAAAAGCTTGTAATGAGTGTCGACCCTTCACAGGTTCCTCTGCGGCATACAAGTCACAGACTTCTTTGAAGATCTCAGCTCCAGGGAGATGCATCGGGAGTGTAAGAACTGATGAGAGGGGAGAGATCATGGCCTATACTATTAGGAGGGCCGTTGCGAAGTTTGTAGGTTAGTTCTGGGAAAAGCTGGTGCATTCAAGAAGCATGTCTAGGGCTCCTAAGAAGCTTGAATGTTTGAATGTTTGAACCACATCAAATTTTCCCACATGTAATGTAACATGGTCAGACTGCCACCCACATAACCATTACACCAAAAGGTGAAATACTGAAAGCTTAGCTTTCAGCATCAGTGACAGTATATGTACTGATTATGAGAACTTAGGCAAGCTGGTGTGCTTACATGTAAAAGCTTGGGCTGAGTGAACCAGTGTCACTCGCAGGCAAAACCTAGCTCATCTCAATATCAAATAACAATGACCCTCTCAAACAGAATGAAACCAACAAGTCTTGGACCATCCATAAGCAATCGCCCTGGAAGCTCCCTCATATGTTTGTCCACCTTGTGACCCTATTCTGGGTCTCAAATCTGTTAATTTTTGGATGTAAAATATGCAGACATCTCACATGTCGTACGGTTTGGCATGTGTGACACCCAGCAAGATGTGACACAGTGAAGAACATATATGGGATCTCAGCGAACAGGAGCACTGAGCAGTTAGCTAATGATTGATGATGGACCAGGACACGTCCTTGGCAAGTATGGCACCAATTGTATGTACCCATGACAAAACACTAACTTTTAATAACAAATTCAATGATATGGGTAATCAGAGGCTTTGCACATGGTGGGTCTCAAACTGGCTCAAATTCACTGTCTCACATACCCAGATATGTGCATGGCATAGCAGTAGCTCTGAGACCAGCACTAGATGTGGAGAATGTGATTGGTTGGTTGACACTTGAGAGAGTGATTAGCTAATGCAGTAAAATTTACCTGGTAGCAGGCTCTGCCACATACATGGCCAGAGCTGTCCAGCAGAGCATCACAAGGCAGACAACATCCTTAGCTACTACTGCAGTCACCCATCTCCTAGGATAAGGGTCTGTTAGCTGGGACAAGAGGGATGCCAGATGGCGGGGGGTGGCAGTGGTTTTGAACCTGTGAAAGTTCTCATCAGGGGACTACTACTACCACTACCCCAACTGCACCAACCTTCTCATTCTGTTTAGGACTGATACTACTGAGCCTATGTACCTAGTGGGAATACAATACAAGACCTGTCACACGACTGCAACTGCAAAAAAGACGACCAGCCAGCCAGTCGCGTCCAGTGACCATGACCCACTAGCAGGGTAGTTTATGGTTAGGTGAGGGCTAGTGGGGGTAAGAAGCTTCAGACCTCAAGTCTCAAGATTGGATTGACAGAAAGAATTTCTGGTGATACGACAGATTTATCACCACTCCAGAAATCGGAGATATTCATGTAATAGCAATATTAATATGCATGTCAAAGTCACCCTCATGGTGTTTTCCATAAACCGCAACATTGATGGGTTGGTGTTACCCATGTGGAACCCTATGTGTGTGCTACCAAGACTTCTTTATGACTCACATATGCAATACATTTAATTGTTGCTCAACCTTCAAACAGATCCCTTTGCTCACAATCAATTGTACACAGCATTATCAAGGGTGAGAACACAAAGAGACGTGACTCAGATGTGTCCATTTGCAGAGATGAACAAAGGACAAGACTGGGCTATTTCCTCTGTGGCTACCACTGTAATCACAGTATATTGTCAAAGAGGCATGTCCTTGTTATTATTAACACACCTTATTTGAAGGATGACCTCAATATACTTCTTGAACACACTACTATGGCCAATCTCATGCACCAATTCCCAGAACTAACAATCTCCACAATGGTCTTCCTGTAGGCCATCATCTCTCTCCTCTCACCAGCCCTTACACTTCTTATGATCACCCTGGAGCTAAGATCTTTGGGGTTTATGATGGGCATGCCATGGAGGAACTTGCAAAGGGTTGATATTCATGATCAGGTTTATACTCTCATCACAAGCTTTTTGTGAAGTTCAGTCACTTCCATTCCTCTCCTTTGCAAGTCATGGTTGAACAAGGCTCCAATAGACGGCACCCCAGATAAATTTCATATTTATTGTCATCTCTCATATCCTGCCAGTGGCTCGATGGCCATTTGGTCAATGACAAGATTGATGCTGGATGGGTGCAGCTTCCAAATTTGCAGAATCTGTATGTTTCTATCCATACTTCTTCCCTCTTGTACATATCTCGCTTTGGATGTACTTTGTGAAAAGATTGTGTGGCTCTTCCCAGCACGCATAATCCATTGTCTGAAGGCACAAGCTTTACATACACATACCTGCATCTTTTTACACCATTTCTATCACTTTCTACCACACCACCTCACTCTCAATATCATATTCATCACACTTCTCCTGGAGCACAACTTGCAGCCCTACATATCGAAGCTGCCTGTCTATCATGGCATACTATGCATGAACACATGGGTAGAATCTGGGGTAGCTTCGTTGTGAATGCCATGAGGTGTTCGGACTGTGTTTGCTTGGGGTTAGAAGTTATTTGGGAGAACCGAGGAAAATCCAACTGATAACAGGGTACCAGAAACCGTTCTGCACTAACAGTGAGAAATATAAATTGAACATGGTTGTATCCCAAAAGCCTCAGGACAAACACCTTGAAACTTTGGGTGAGTGGCCCTGTGTGGGCTGGATCTGTTTCACTCAATTGATGTCATGCAGTTTTTCCTAGACTTCAAGCTGCTATAGCACCTGTAGCGAGTATACAAGCTCAGTGATCTTGGTAGAAGTCACTTATATTGATATATATACCTGTAGCAAGTATATGAGCTGCAGTAGCTGTTAGATAAGTATGTACTATATGAATAGAAGGTACTGACCTCAGTGATCTTGGTAGAAATCACTGAGGGAGTGAGCTTTGCTATGCGTGAGTGAAAATAATAGGTAGCTTATGTAACATACTAAATGGGTATAGTGAGGTTGGAATATGCAACACTCCCTCTCAAACTGAGTGGAGGCCAAGCATGGTGGTGAAGTGCTTAGCTTTGAGGCTAGGAAGGGGTTTGGTGAGAGTGTCTGCAACCATGTTGTCTGTAGGACAGTACTCTAGTAAAATAGAACCTTTGTCAATTGAAAAATGAATGAAATGATAGTGGATATCTATGTGCTTGGTGTGCACATGAAACATGCCAGAATTAGCAAGTGCAATGGCAGACTGATTGTTGCAGTAAAGGATGGTCAGTTGGGCAAGCGGACAAAAGACTTTGGAGATAAGGCGATGAAGCCGGATGGCTTCCTTTGCTGCGTGCATGGCAGCAATGTATTCAGCCTCTGTAGTGGAGAGTGTCACCAGCTCCTGCTTCTTTGAGCTCCAGGACATGGCCCCACCATCCAGCAAAAATGCATAGCTGGAGATAGTGTGTCTGTGCTCTTGGGAGGCACCATCTGTGTCAGCATAGCCTTCGAGGCCAAGTTTACCTTGGCCAAAGGTGAGTGCCATCTTCTTGGTACCTGTAAGGTACTGAAAGATTTTCTTAACAGCCTCCCAATGGGCTATGCCAGGGTTTGTGCCATATTGGGCAATGGTTGAAACAGCAAATGCTATGTTGGGGCAAGTGCCCACTGCGAGGTGCATAAGTGAGCCGATGGCCTCATGATATGGGATGTGCTTCATGAGTGTGGACTCTGCAGGAGTCTTGGGGATGGATTGTGAGAGCGGGACATTAGGATCCATGGGGATGGAGGAAGGTTTGAGGTCAGAGAAGTTGTACTTAGCGAGAATGGATTCGATGTAGCTTTCATGGGAGAAGGAGATGGTCTGCATGACCTTCATGCTGAGCAATGATGTGATGGGGCTGAGATCTGTGAGCTTGAAGCAAGCTGCTACATCAGACTTGAACTGAGTGATGAGGTTGCTGTTGCTAGCCGGTGAGAGTACAATCATCAACATGAGACATGAGAATGAGAATATCTGTGCCTATGTGTTTGAAAAACACTCCCCAATCTGACTCTGCTCTTTTCATCCCTAAACTGAACAATAGCCAGCAGAGTTCCTGGTACCACTTGAGGGTGCCTTGTTTCAATCCATAGAGGGCGACATGAAGGCAGGGCGACAGGATGTTTGAACTTGTTGTCGATGTTGAGTCCAGGTGGGAGTTCCATATAGATTACCTCATCAGTGTCTAACTTCCCATTTAGGAATGCACTGTGGAAATTGAAAACTGTCAATGTCCCAATCTCTCCTGGCTGCAACTGCAGGATTGTTTGAAGGGAGGCAAGACGCGCCACTAGCGCATAGGTATTGTAGTAGTCGAGGCTGTAAACCTGTGAGTACCCTTTTGCTACTAATCTCACTTTATACTTCTCAATTTCTCCATCAGTGTTTCTCTTTATTCTGAAGACCCACTTGCATCCCACAATGTTGACATTGTCCAGCCATTCAACAACAGTCCAGGTACGTGCTTCTTCCAGTGCATTTAACTCCTTATTGATTGCCCCTTCCCATTTAGGCCAATCAGTCCATGCACTTGCTTCCTTGACTGTGGTGGGATCAGTCCCTTCTATTGCCGCTACTCCTGTGACCATTGTGAAGACCTCTTCATCATCCTCATCTATCTCACCATACTCCCCTGCCATTCCTAGCTTAGCGGCCAGGTTACTGGACTCCCCCACAGGCTGCATCCCAGGAGGTAAAGCAGTGTTCTTGCCGTCTGTGGTGCCTGTGCCATCGCACAGACTTCTAATGTAGGCTGACTCTATTCTCACCCTTCCAGAATGGTGTGGCTGCTCAGTTTGTTCAAACTGTGGTCCCAGGTGGTCTCTAGAAGGAGGAATGGGATTATGGGGTGGTGTTGGAGTATTGCTGGGTGCTTTATTGGGGTTATCAGTGTGTAATGCTTGGCTCATTGATTCATTGGGTACTGAACCAACATCATAGATTCATACTGTACAGCTTTCCAGTCCACTTGGTCCTCCTATAGGTATTCTCACCTCTGCTGTATCTAATCTGACACTCCTCTCCACAGCTATCCTTCGAGTTTCTGAGAGGTAAACTCAGTGACCATTGCTGTTGTGATCAAATCCCATCCATCTGCCATCTATGGCACACATATTGAGCTTGGAGCCATTTGTTGAGTGTACTTTGACATGGCAATCCCAGACTGGTAGGTGCTTTAGGTTTGGCACCTTTTTGTACAGCATCTCATATGGTGTCTTGTTGTCCAGGACATGAGTTGCCATCCGGTTCTTTAACCAGGTGACATGCATGATGGCCTCCCCCCATAGGAACTTGGGTAGTTCACTGGCATGCAACAGTGCACACATTCATTCAGAGACAGTGCGGTTGAGTCTCTCTGCAACTCCATTGTGCTCTGGAGTGTCATGTACGGTGAGTTTGTGTTCAGTGCCTTTACTGTTGAGATAACAAGTGAACTCTTCTCTAGTGAATTCTCCCCCTCAATTGGAGTGAAATCGTTTGATTTTTGTGTCAAACTGTGTGTTTGCCCAGGCTTCAAAGAACTTATATGCACTGAAGGCTTCATCCTTTGTGCGTAGCAGGTACAGGTGAGAAAATTGAGTGAAGTCATCAGTGAATGACACAAAGTACTCTTTATACCCAGGAGTTTGTACAGGAGATGGACCCCAGAGGTCACTATGGACTTCATCACCAAACTTCTTGCGTCTCGGAGGGTCATGGATTTTTCCAATTGGTTTGCGGGTGGCTTTTGCATATTTGCAAGAGTTGCATTTCTCCATCATTGCATCTGAGGGATCCAGCTTGATTCCAGTGATGACACCATTTCATATCATCTTCATGATGCTGTCCAGGGAGATATGACCAAGTCTAGCATGAATTTTGCACATGGTGAGTGTTTCATCTGCATTCACAAGTCCAGCAAATAACTTCCTGGGGCCCTTTACACAGTATAAACTCTTAGAGACTGGGACCTCCCCCAGTAGCTTCTTTGCATCACTGAAGATCTTGCACAAGCTTGCACAGAACAATGCAGCATATCCAGCTGCCGTGAGACAGCTGATGGAAACCAAGGTTATGCCCATCTTCGGTGCATATAGGACATCTTTGAGGAGTATTCACATGCTTGACTTGCATTTGGCAGTGTAATCATAATATTCCCTTTGCCAGTGGCCTTGAAGGTGTGTTTGTCAGTGGTTGTAATGTGTTTCAGCATGATGTTGACGAAATCTTGGAACAGATCATGATAGGATGACATATGTCTCAATGCACCTGAGTCAAGCAACTCGGTTCAAGATTCGCATTGGGAGTTCAAGTTTGCTAGGGTTGCATAGGTGAATGATGTTTGCTCTTCTCCTGTCTCATCTGTATCATCCATTAACCAAACACCTTCAGGTTCATCATCTTCCTCATTATCCTTGGCTTTTGCGGCAGTCTCAGGTTTCCTGTCCTTCCCTTTTCCAAAGGACTTCTCCCCTGCTTTGCCTCCTGCTGCACCTCCTCCTTCACCTCTGCAGTCTCATTGCATGTGGCCATACTTGCCACAATTGTGACAGTTCCCCTTGATTCAACAAGTTTGTTTACCTGCATTCGCATTATAGGCTGCATCATCATTCGACAAGCTGCTCTTCTTTGTCTTGGCTGCTCAGCAGTCGAATTCATCTACTATTGTTGATATCAATATGTCTGCGGTGAGTTGAATGCTTGAGACTTTAGCAGATGCTGTCAGTGCTGACAAGTGGGGGTCATATGATGCAGGTAGTGAGCTCATGATGATTGCCATGAAGCTTTCATCTGTTGGGGCATGGCCTAGTGAGGACAGTTGCTTGCGAATCATTCGCAGCTTGTCAAAGTGTTCTCTGATGTTACCCTTTTCAGAGCATTTTTGGTCTTGTAACTTTCACAGTAGTTCAACAGAGACTACACAAGAACACTTCTCGAAGAGATTCGAAAGGTACGTGAAAATCTTTTGTGCTGTATCCAAGCCCTTGACTTGGATGAACAAAGAGTCAGGGATTGTGCTGGCAATTTGCTGCTTCGTTATTGCCTCCCCCATGCGCCACTCCTTCAGTGCAGTCTTGTATGCAGCAAGTTCTCTGACCTTGTCCATCATACTTGGTGACCATGATGCTCCTCTTCCCAATAATGTCGAGGGATCTACTGGTTTCTTCTCGGTCCCATCTAGGTGACCAAGGAACCCATGAGCATCTACTGACCATTGCATTCTATCTTTGTAGGTCATCCAATTTTCTCTGTCCACAGCAAGCTTTGGGACATGTAGAAAATCTTCTCCAAGTTTACTGTTAGAGCTGGACATGGCAGGCTATATTTTTTTGTATACTTGGTTATGTTTTTAGTTGACGAGTGCAGAGCTCATGACCTGTAGCAAGTATACGAGCTCAGTGATCTTGGTAGAAGTCACTGAGGGAGCGAGCTTTGCTATGCATGAGTGAAAATAATAGGTAGCTTATGTAACGTACTAAATGGGTATAGCGAGGTTGGAATATGCAGCAGCACCTTCATGTACTCAACCGCACATTCAAACTTTTGTTGGTGTGTGGTGTTCTCACACTGATGACTATCACTAAATAAACTTGCATACTAGATACAATGAAGCTTATTCAGTTTGCTGTCCTTACTGTCCTTGCTGCTGTCACTGGGGTGAAGGCAGCTGCTACTGATAGCAACACTGGAATCTGTATATTGCCATGCTATCCTGAGGAAACTGAGTGTGTGGAAGGGTGGTATGCAGCCCAATTTCGTGACTGCTGGACCTGCTGCACTGAGACTTAGCCACCAAGTTTGTACAGATAATGTATCATCCCTAGTCACCTATGGCTCTGGAGAGTGACAATTTCAGATGATTTAAGACTGACTGACAATCAGAAGATCTACATGTATTTGATTCATCTGTGTATGACATAGCTATTGCAGGTATGCCCGGATATTGCGAGCACATTGGTGGTCTACTTTGCTTGAAAACATAGCCCGACCTCTGTTTTTTGTGCACTTAGTTATTAATTTATTGTTCACTACCACTTGCAAGTCTGAATTCTGCACACATTTGGAACACCATCAGAGAATTCGTGAGTCTACCCAGGGTGCTTCACATTGATTGTGGTGGTTTTCCGACATTATGCATGGCTTTATATAACTTTATATTCCAATATAAAGAAAACCTTTCCTATATATGATCATATATCGGCATATGGACAATATCTTCGGTTCACAAGTCCTCTGATGTCACAAATCAGATGACTGAAACAATATACAAGCTTTCAAAGGTGAGAGGGCAGATGGAAGCAAATAGTTGGTTCAGCATCATGTCTCACATCTGCTTGGCTTGGCACCACCACAGCTTTGATTGTCATTATGCATGGCACATTCGGACAATTCAATCAACCCATCAACTTTGTGTTCACTGTCCAGGTAAATTAGTAATTGTACTCTTGTGCCTCTTCAATACTAGCAAATATCCAATAGGTGATCTATGATCCATCCAGTAGCCATGCACACCGTCAGATATGAATCCATTGATAACCTCTTCATAACTGAGTTTTTGATGAGCAATGCAGCTATGGATCGAATCTGCATAATGATGACCACAGTATTTTCAAAATGAGAATGTAGGACGAAGTCAGGATGCTCGTTCTGAAACTTGACAAAGTCATCTGCAAACTCACCCGCACTGTTCTCACCACAGTTCTTCCTTGATGCAGTCAACATTGCATAGAACAGAAAATATTTCAGTGACCAATGGCTGAGGTCCAGTCAATCCAGCAGCACCTTGTGTACAGTTCTGCAGCTCAGGTGTGAGGATTTCTCAGCATCATTGCTTCATCCCATATGGCCTCCCAAGCCCTCATTGGCTCAGTGTTCTCATTCAAGGAATCTGCCTGATAGGCTTCCTCCTGAAAAAAAATGACTTCAGCGGGTTGGATTGTGCTACAGAGCACTCTGTAGCAAATTATATTTCCCTGATGGAGCATCACTTCCACGAGAGCTCAGAAGAATGAAAATTAAAAGGTTAAGCACACACCAGACAGCTCCTTCAGTAGTTATTATAAGAATAACACAAGTATAATCACATGGATCTGCAGGAGACAGATACTCTCAGTCGTTGCGTGTGAATGCAAACGTCTTGGTATATTTACCTGCGGGAGACAGATACTCTACGTAGCATTAGTTAAGGTAAATATACGAGTCAAAATAGAGTTCTTTACCTCAGTCGTTGCACGTGAATGCAAACGTCTGAGGTACTAGTACGAAAATCTGCATGAACTAAATAGACACGAGTGCTCTTGTACGAGCGGATAAGTGAGTGAAATGACGACAAAAGGAACACAGGCCCAAGCAATCCAAAGATTCAGTAGGTACAATGGGAAGAAGATAAAACAAGAGCACATAATGGAAAACATACGAGTCGCTGGACAATAAGAACAAAAATACAAGAGCATTCAATGGTGCGCCTCAGCTGCGAGTGCGCTTGCGTATTCCAACAGTTATTTCTCGCATGATAATACTGGCAGGCTCACATGCGTGAAATGTGTACTTCGTGGCTTTCACAACATAATGCATGTGCTACAGAAGTAGCTAAAACATATCGATTAGTTCACATGGTACCAAACCCGAGTGAGGTGAATCAATGACATCACCATATGTGTGAAGCAAGCATAATTCTTTCGCACAGCCAGCCTGACCAAAATCCGTCCAAGTGTATTCCAGTTTGGAATGTCGCGGCAAATACCATACCGCAGCGGCTGCATGCGGCGCAGGACGTACTCAGGGCCTCGCCGCTTGGTGTGTTGACTTCCATATTAGGAAATGTTCCCATACCCTCGCTTACCCAATCGTGCAAGTAACAAGTTGTTGGATGGCATTAGTTCCTTTATGTACTTTACTGCGATTTGCTGCGATTGCAACATGAGAGCAATCACCAATTACAGTTTTTATAGATCAGTGCGGTGCTTGGCAATGGGATTCTCCTTAACGTGACGACTTGACCGCAGCACCACATGCAAGCTTTGCCTTGGGCAATATAAAAACGAAACGGGCTACAAGAACTGCCAATTCAAACGACTTGATTCAGTCAAAGATTCAGTTCAATACCACAACCACCCCAACACGATGGCCGCTACCTCTGGAATTGGTGTCTCCCCCGAGCTAACAAAAGCATTCTCCGATGCTGTCGAGACACAGAATGTCCGATTCATCAAAGTCATCATTCAGGACGGTCTGCTAGTTTACCTGTTTGCATCATTAGTGATCTCATACCATCAGACAGAGTCTCTCGTTTCTGTAGCCTCCTTGCCAACCGCCAATTCCTTAAACGAGGATTTGGTACAACTTCAAGAATATCTTGAAGACAAGGAACCATGTTATATCCTGGCGCGTCTCGATGACCCTCCTTCAGAATGGCTTGCAATTAGCTATGTGCCAGATTTTGCCAACGTTCGGGATAAGGTAGGTATTGTTGTTGATATTGTTGGAAACAATCTGATCAGCCCAGACACTGTATGCTTCAACACGGGGTTCTTTGACCAAGTCGCTGGGCTCGACTATTTTCACGGACAGTCTATTTGCGACCTGCAAAGCGGACTTGACACCTGAAGGCTATGAGGCTCACAAGAGGCACCAGGCTGCACCCAAGCCTCTGAGCGCGCGGGAGCAAGAAATGGCAAATATCAAGGCGGCCGAACGAGAAGCTGGAAACAGTTATGAAGGCAGTAATGTAAGAAAGAGCCACATTGGTCAACGCGTCGGCCTGTCTTGGTCCTCGGAAGCTGAGGACGCTGTGAAGGGGCTTGGGTCGCGAAATGATAGTCGGATCGTCATATTGGTTCGTATCCTTATTGATTACATCGAGCGAGGCGTTCACCAATCGTTTCAGAAAATCGAACCATCAACCGAGTCGCTTGAGCTGGACTCTTTCGCAGACGTAACAGTGGATAATTTGAGTTCAAGTATACCAAGTGATGAACCATGTACGCGCTCCTTGCACTGTGATCGTGCTTTTTGTGCTACGCTCACGTTCTTTCATTAGCATATATATTTTATGCGTGGACAAACCCGTATTCTCAGGCAGGCGGAGACATCGGTTCGTGTCACTACTCCCGCTGCACCGCACGCAATACATCTGACTTGCTTGCTCAGTCTTTATATACTCTTGCCCTACGACATCACCTGTTCGACACAGGATGCTCTATTCATCAGCGGCAATGTCAACTTATCTTGCGGCGAAGGATTTCTTGGTGGAAACTGGGTCAATATTCCCACTTGCAACAAAGAGGATTGAAACGTCGGACCCAGCGGAACTCGATGAGACCTTCCTCAAGGCCGGTCTCAACCATGATGGACCCACAGGTGCTATTGTCAACAATAATGGTGCTCGGCAGGATGACCCTGCGAAACCGTCATTCGCGAAACCGAAAGGCCCTGTGAGGAGACGATGAAGGCGGAAGAAAGATAGTAAACTGTAGCCGTTCCAAATGTGCAGTAGTGATGACAAAGCTTATAAGTGTAGATGTAGAGGGAACGTGACACCAAGTTTTGTTTATTCCTGGCCCGGATCTACACTTGTATATCCATCCGGGAACAGAATGCATACCGGAGCTTTGTCGGCATGCAGGGTTCGTTGATAGTGGGACTCCGCTGAGCTCCGGATGCGCTCGTGCTCATCGGAAAGCTGTGGGCATGTGACCAACCAAACACACTTATAACATCATCATGACCTGGGGAAAGAACACCGAAGAATTGTATTCCATCCATGTTGGCTGCGTGCGTCTCGAGAGCGACGCTCGTCTCAGTTCTCAAACCTCGTGCAACCGTCTTCCTTAGAGCAAGATGGTACAGTACTACGGAACTCCCACCCAATAAGTCGAAGGTGTGGAAGTCAGTCGACGAAGCAGTTAAGGATGTCAAGTCAGGAGATGTCCTTTTGTGTGGCGGTGAGTATCGTCGCATTCCATTTCTTATACCAGATCTGTGATCTTCTGGCACGCAATACCCAGGTTTTGGTTTGGCTGGTGTACCAGGTGAGTCTCGACAGAGGGTGGATCTCGAGCGGTGCAACTAAGCTAGAATACAACAAGACACGCTGCTTTCCGCCTTGGTCAAGCGCAAGGACGTTACAAAGCTAACAGGAGTTTCCAATAATGCTGGCGCAGGCGACTCCGGACTTGGTTTGTTTATCCACAACTGTCCATGATTCGTGAACCTCATGAATATCCATAGGAAAGTTGTTCAACAGCAAGCAGATAGATAAGGTCGTCGCTTCATACCCTGGAGGGTGAGTGATTCATCTTGTTTGGGCCTGCGCGAGATAAACTGTCTGTCCATCCAGAAACAAGGCCTTCGAGACTCTATATCTCAACGGCGAGGTGTCTTTGGAGCTATGCCCCCAAGGTACACTCGTCGAGCGTCTCCGTGCCCATGCCGCTGGTATACCAGCTTTCTTCACCCCTACTGGAGCATCAACAGCAGTAGAAGACGGTTCTATCCCAACACGATACAACGAAGGAGGATTTGCCAACGGAGTCAAGATACCAGGTATTAAGAAAGAATCACGAGAATTCGGAGGTCGCAAGTATATCATGGAACCGGCCATTGCTGGTGATGTCGCTTTCGTTCACGCATGGAAAGTCGATGAGGTTGGCAACTGTGTTTTCCGGTGAGGAAACAGGATATCGTTTTTGTTGCCTACCTGAGCGTTGAACATGTTGATTCGCGCAGATACGCTCAGCAGAACTTTGGTACAGTCATGGCTAAGAACGCAAAACTTACGATAGTGGAGG